AACAAACGGGAAACATCTTGTAATTTAATGTCTGAGGATGTGAGGATTCGAGCTGTTACGATAATGATATGGAGATCATGTTTGCCTGAAAAGTTTGCTTTAAATATTAGGCTTCCTCGTGCTAACAAACAAGAATTATCTAAATTACATGAGAGAAAAAGAGGTTTCTCGATGCGTTTCTCGGTTTTCATCCCAGGCTATTTGCACAAGGTCAGAGCGAAGAATATCATTAGCGGTGACGTAATAATTGAATCATAAATCTATTGCGAGATTTTAAATCGACTATCTACAAGAAAGCGTTCAAGATAACTTTTGTTTAGAAAATAAATTCTTACGTAAACAAACGTCATTAATATACAGTGATTTAATACAGATTTTATCAATGTGACACGCATCATGCTTTTGTTATAACTTACTTGTCACATCGTCACATTTTCGATTTCGAAACCAACACTTCGCAAATATTGGAATGTTCCCCAACAGCACGAAACTTGCAGCAATATTGCTGCAACGTATAATATTACTGCAAGTGTTGTGCTGTTGGGGTTTAGAACGACATTTTAAATATTCTTCTAAATATCTTTTTTTTTTTTCAGTATTGGAATACGTGGGACCAAAATGGCGCACTTTCGTGGCGAACATGTCGATAGCTCTCTTTTTCACGTTCGCCGCCTGTATCTTACCTTGGATCGCGTATTTCCTGGCAGACTGGAGAATGACTTGCATCGCAGTATCTGTTCCTCTGGCTCTGGCAGTGGCGGCACCCTGGTTGGTACCGGAGAGCGCGAGGTGGCTTGTCAGTCAAAACCAAGTGGAGAAGGCCATTAGAATCCTGGGTAAATTTGAACGCATGAACGGCACGAAAGTACCCGAGAACGTCTATCAACAATTCCGCGTAAGGATCGTTAATTTTCTCTTGTGTTTCAAAGAAAAAAAAATGGTATCCCGATAAAAATCACAAGAAAAATTTACGTTATAATGATTGTTTGTTGATGTAACAGGAAACCTGCGCCAGGGTGTGCAAAGAGCAAGAGGCGGATAAGACTTATTCCGTGGTGGATCTATTTAAAAGTCCACGTTTGCGAAATATTACGATTCTCCTCATCATTATCTGGTGAGTTACTCACATAATAAAAATATTTCTTCAATTTTAATAGATTCTAAAGCTGCTGAATTGGAAAAATGTTTAATAAATAGCATTTAACAGACATTTCAGTATTGTAGCTTGTAAGAGAAAAATGTGTTTAACGTCGAATAAAGGCTAATTGTTATTCAACGACTATAAAGAATGTAGTAAGGTTGTTCCTTATCTATATATATCGATTATGTTCCGTAATGTAGGATGGCGATATCGCTGGTATTCGATGGTCACGTAAGAAACGTGAATAATCTTGGACTCGACGTCTTTGTAACGTTTACCATCGCGGCGTTTACCGAACTACCCGCTGACACATTCCTTACTCTCGTTCTCGATCGATGGGGTAGACGATGGTTGGCTTGTGGTACCATGGTAATTTCCGGAATTTTCAGTATTTGGGCAAGCGTGGTTTCAAACAGTGAGTGCTGCTGACTTACTTCTTTTTATCTAGTAAACAAGAATCCTGTCCAAGGCAGTAATGTTCCAAATAATACATTTACGTTCAATAAACGTTAGAAATCGTATAATGAACATATAAACTGAAAAATAAAGTTTAAAATTTGATACGTTTTTAATTTATTTAATAAAAAGATTTGTTAAATAATTTAAAAGCTGTTATAACGTATAGATAATTTTTGCCAACTTAAAATACCGTTTTTATACGAAACATTTCGACGATTTGATAAACGTATATTTAAAATTAATAATATCTATTTAATATAGCATAAAAACATTTTGGTTAAATGTTCTTTAAATGTAAATTGTTTGCTTGAGGTTTTAAAAAATTCATAAAATAAAATATAATAAAATTGTAAAAATTTTTGGAAATTAAAAAGATTAAAATTACAGACTGTGGGGAATTACACAACTAATTCACACAGTCTTCAGGATTGCAGTTATGCAGTTTATATGCAGTTTTCCTTCCGGATTCCCGTTTCAGATATTTATTCGGCCACGCTGGCGATCGTTGGTAGATTCTGGGTCAACATCTCGTATAACATTGGTCTTCAATATGCGGCCGAAGTGTTGCCGACTGTTGTGAGGGCTCAAGGAGTTGCCTTGATCCACATAATGGGATACGTCGCGAGCATCCTTGCGCCTTTTGTCGTTTACCTGGATACTGTTTCGTCCATTTTACCACTGTTGGTCCTGGGTGTCATGGGCGTTCTGGGCGGTCTTCTGACGCTTCTGCTACCGGAGACACTCGATAAAGATCTACCACAAACCTTGCAAGACGGCGAAGATTTCGGAAAGGATCAGAAGATATGGGATATGCCGTGTCTCTCGAAGTATGTGTCGAAGATGATTCTTTCGCATTATTTCTGCAAATCTTATACGATACCCGGTGCATTTTTCTTTTGACAAAATAATCACTTGAGGAAACATTATTCTTAGAAAAATCCTTTTTTCTTAATTCTTTTTAAACATCTATTTCAAATTGAATATATTTCCTTTATAATTTCACCTTCTTGTCTAATGGAATTCTTTTTAGCAGAGAGTACCATATTGTTTCTTAAAGAGATGTCGCATTCATATATTTTCTTTTTAGGAAAAAACCTGTAGACGTGGAAGTGCCAACGGTGGCTGTCTTCCGGACGTTCGAACGCAGCAGTCTGCGAAGTTCAATGAGAGCATCTATTCGCGGCGAGACCCTGAGGAGCAGCATGATACAAAGATCGAGCATAAGATCGCGGAAGAGCATGAATGCGGTCGTGGAAGCGGAGAGCAAGTGAATACTCTGAGAGACGCAGCCCTCATTTTCGACATGCTGACACATTTCCTCTCTTTCTGTCTCTCCCTCTCTCTCTCTCTCTCTTTTTCTCTCTACCGTTGTTCTTTCCTTCAGAATTGTGTGATACTGGAGCTACCAAAATCAAATAATGCATACGTCTGTATCCAACCATCAATGACAGTTTTAGATTGAGGAAAAGACAAAATGAAGCATTACTCTGGCTCGCTCTATTAAATTTACTTAATTAAAAGAGGGGAGGGTTGTTGCAATTAATTTTAAGTATCGACAGTAGAGAAGTAGAAACGTCAATTAGAATACTGTTAGGTATCAAAGAAGGTAACTCAATCCCTTGAGTTAAACATTTTATTATTTTTTATTTTAGGAGCAGTGGTGATCTATAATAAATAAATTGGGTATAACTCAAATTGAGTATAATTTACGAATTTAATTAGATTAGATTGGTTTTAACTAAAACTCTAATTGGCTATTCTATTTCTCTGAAGTCTACCGAACCCTTTCGATTTTCTTTATTATATTCTGAACCTTATACATGTGACGTTTTTGAAATCTGACTTGGATTTCGAGTAAATAGATAGGGACTCTTACTCGCAGTCATGTAATGTTAAAACAAGGCTACGTTTCTTTTTTTTTTTATTACGATTCGTATTTTATATATATTTTTACCACGTTTGTATTTAATAGGAAGAAGAAAACCGATGTTGTGTAGTTGAGTTTAGAAACGCGTGAAGTTTCGAAACTCTCGTTTGTTCCTTACGAAATATGCGTCTTTCGAGGAAAAAAGGAAAAAGAGAAACTATAAATATTTTTCAGATGTTATCGTTCCGATTCCGCAGGTGGGAATCATATTGAGAAACAGATGAGAAATAGATAGAAGATAAATATGTACTCGAGAGAATGCGAGAACTGCATTTTACATAAATTGATCGCGTCGCTGCAGTTGCGACTCGTCACTGTTGCTCACGTACACGTATAGTATATAATACAATGTACATAGCAGATGCGAATCAAATTTTTGAGTTATCTCAAATGACGCGACTGGCTGCGCGTTGAATGCGAATGAAGTTCGCGCGTCCTGAATGGGAAATTTCCGAATGAAACGGCTTTATTGTGATAACACGCGTATCAGCAATGTCTTCCCGTCGTCAAGAACGTTCGCTTAGAAATATTTTCTGCTGAAATTCAGATCTCGAGATTTGTGTACATAAGTAGTATTTTATAATGTAAATAAGGATATTAAATTAATTTGTATTTCCCATCGATCTGTGTTAATAAACGTAAATCAATATTTAGTCGGATGGATAATTACCGCCATCAGTCGCCTTCAATTAAAAGGCGTTAGAACTGTTTTGACAAAGGTATGATAATGAATGGTAATAATTATCGACAGCTTCTCATTGCAAATGAGAGAATTAGTTTAATTGTCTCACGATATTGCATTGACTATTATCGTCGACTCGACAAGTCTACGCGGTAATATCCAGCACGACGAAATGTCTAATACAGACAATGGGATCATTAATAAGCCGTATACATAATTTAAGCCTTATCACTGCATTGCGGTCGACCGACAATTCATCATTGCCCGTGGAATTTCAGGACCTGTTCAACGAAACTGCGATTCATCATATTCTAACGCGAAAGCTTAGAACCCGGAAAACCACGTGCAACCTTCCTTCCTATCTCGATTTCGCCACATTAAGATCAAAGAACGAATGCACGATCGATATAACGAAAGCAGTCATTAACATTATGTATTCGCGTAAATTACTAATATCCGCGCTATCATTTGAAACACATTAGAGAGTCTTCAGAATGATTCATATTACCAGTTTAGTCTACTATGCAAAAGAAATGGAAAAAATTATTTTAATTCTCTTTTCCTCTCTCTCTCTCTCTCTCTCTTTAAATATACGATATTAATATACGATATGAATTTCCCTAAAGTCGCGTTGTACATGATAACAATAAACTATAAGGCTAGTGATACGCTAAACTTATTTACGCATAACATAATTTTTATATAATTACTCCTTACGATTAATTTATTAATTTTATAATTAATTAATTATTCCATATTATTGGTAATAAGAGACATTTCAAATAGTAAAAAATAAATAAAACACTCTTGCATTTTGCAAATTCGGAAAAAAAATTCCACCAAATTTGTCGCAACGTTTAACTGGAATAGCGGTCAAGGTTTTATGCTTAAGTAGTAGAACCTGACTTATCGACTTCCGCGCGTGGTTTATTTCTGGCTTGCAAGTTTGGCTCGTTCGAAACGTGGACATCAACAGCACGCCAGATATTGTTGCGAATTCATAGGTAACGGTACGAGAATTGCGTGAATGTCGACAACCGGCTTGCGCGAGTGACGTCTGAGCCAGATTCTATACGTGCAAGACATACGTATGAATGGAAGAAATCAGAGATATTTCGATACCGTGATATCTTCATTAGTAAACATTAGTGGTAAATATTTTAACGATACAATAAAACAATTATCACCTTCTGTTTGATATTTATCATCAAATTATTCAAAATAGAATAAGTATTAATTATTACATTGTCATTTATTCCTGATTCCGTGTGACATTTATCTCGATATTGTAATTTAACATCGCTGTGTAAAAAAGTTGCAATGTAAGCAATAACGGAAGATTTACCGGTAAGTCAATGAAAATACAGAAATAACAAAAGATTTCGATTCTGTAACTCCTTCAACGATTTTTTTTGCTTCTTTTCTTTATTTTAAAATTCATGTTAGTTAATTTAATTAAATAAAAAAATTTAATTTAGTTAAATAATAATTTTGCTGACACATGTGATTCGCCTATTTTTATTTATTGCAAAAGAATATAACAAAGAATTATTGCGTATTTCTATCTTAATTTCTTCAAAGAAAAATTATTTTTCTATGTACTTCACATGTTCATGTTTTGTTTGCAACATCAAGTGTTGAATCATTCTTCTTGACAGAACGTGAATTTGAAAATTAACTCTTCTTTTTAGAGAATTACTTCCCAAGGATATTAGATTCAAGGTCTAGCAAATACAAATTCATCACTGACAGCAAATTTTGATCGCTGTCGTGGGTGGAACTTTCATTCGCGTGTATATTGCCAAGGCTGTATCGATTTTTCCCCTCAGTGCCTGAATAGCAAATTTACATACAATTTCACCCCGGGGAGAACGCAAGTTTTCTATGTATACATTGACGAGTATGTTGAACGAATCCTGTTACGAATGAATCTTTTATGCCGCGCGGTTAACAAGAAAAAAGTTCGAGTTTGTTGTTACGAGACGTGTAATGGAACGCTACATTTGTAAGAAATTATATTGTACGTACATAATATACGTCAAAACCACGAAATCAGAATCATCGATCGAATATTATAGCGTTTTTGAGTGGAGTGGGTTAAGGTGAAAAATATTGAATGATTCAACACTTGACGTTGCAAATAAAACATGAATACGTGAAGTATATAGAAAAATAATTTTTCTTTGAAGAAATTAAGATAGAAATACGCAATAATTCTTTCTTATATTCTTTTGCAATAAATAAAAATACAAAACTAATATAATAATAATGCACATAGATTTTGGCAAAATAAAATAATAATGCAAAGAAGAAATGAAAAAATTAGTGCTAGTTATACAGGGTGTCCCATTTTAATCCCTCACCCAAAATATTTTGAAAAATAAGTGTTTTAGAGAAAAATGCTTCGGACAAAAGTTGTTCAGGACAATGGGGGCCATCTTTCTGCATTGTTGGTTTTGATCTTGAGGTCAATTTTCAAGGTTATTTGAAGGTTACGGTGAATTTTTTTAATGGGAACCCCTATTTTTGACACCAGATTCGGAAAGAGCGGGAAATTTTACCTCTACCAATAGATTAACTTTGATCTTATCGTACTGAAAAAAAATCACGTTACAAAGTTACATAACGAAATCATTTAATTAAAATATGTAAATTAGGTAATGAATTGTTCCAAATCAGTACGTGATCTTTTAAAATCGCACAATTTGAAAAATTACACAATGATTTGTCTTTTTCTTCTATTTCTATCATTAAATTATTTAAAATTCGATAATAGAAAGTCATATAATAGATGAAATTATTTCTAATATCATGACATTTTTTTCAAATTACGTGATTTAAAAAATTCACGTACTGATTTGAAACAATCAGTTATGTGATTTACTTATTTTAATTACATGATTTCGTTATGTAACTATGTGACGTGATTTTTTTCAATAGGGTAGCTTAATACTTACTTTTTGTAATACTTTTGAGGCTTTCACGGGTATATCCTACTGCAAAAAATCACGTCACAAAGTTACATAACAAAATCGTATAATTAAGACAAGTAAATCGCGTAATGGATTGTTCCAAATCAGTACATGATTTTTTAAAATCATGTAATTTAAAAAGATGATTGACACATGATGATATATTAAACTAAGATTAAGTTAATTTACATTGGTAGAATAATGGACATAATTCGCGGGTCTATCTCTCCTTATCTCGTCACGCGGCGACGATCGATCTTTTGTTATTGTCCTCTCTTTTACTGCTCGTGATTCTTGCTACACAAGCATCGAAGCATTATGTATAATATATCACATTCCGCATGCCGAGCTCCTATATCAACAGTATTCAATCGAGTTTCCTTTTCAGACAGCGAGTTGTGCTTCGCGTGAAAGCCTCGTCATTACTGTCATCGGTTAACCGCACTGATCGTAAAAATACTACCACAAGTGGTACTATAGACATTAAAAATCACTTAGTGGAGGGATACTTCATCTTTACAATTATTGACAATTACAAATTATCAGCATTTATAGTTAATTTGCAATAATTTAGTGGTTTGTGACACTTATATATCGATAATTCTTCCTCGCAACGTTATTTCTTCTAAAACGCGGGACCTCAAGTGTAATAAAATTCGACATAAATTAAAAATTGAATATATGAAAAACGCATAAATAGTGCAACGAAAGATTAAAAACGTAAGTATTAACGATTTTAATACGATATTTATGTGCTATTAATTCTTGAATACGTAACATTCTAAGACTTGAAAATTTACAAGAATTGAAATAGCATAAAAACTATAATTTCGATTTAAAGATAAGTAGAGGTAAGTAAAAACAAAGATAAGCATAACATCGAAAGATTTCTCTAAGAAATTGAAAAAAAGAAGGACAGAAAGGAAAAAAGAGAAAATTTAAACGCTATCAATCTACAATAACTACAATTAAAGATATTGGAAAAAATGTATAAATACAAAGGCTAGGATTTTCTGAACACACTCTTATTATTTATTCAATTTTATGTTTAAAATGAAGTTTAGGCAATATTAAGACACAGAATCATCGATTGATTAGTAACCAACTTCGTGGAGAGTATTTAACATGTATGATGTTCATCGCGTATCTGTAAATATGGTCATGACACTTTTTTTTACGTAAAAGAACGTTACTTTGATAAAACATAAGTAGCTAAAGATCATATAATTGCCAATAATGTTAACGAAACTCATTAATTAACTTTAGTGAACAGACAGCCGAAAGACATTTGCAATGTGAGTATTTTACAAATATTTACATGCGTATTAAGTTCTGCATTATTTCCGAATGCTTATACATGTAATTACGTATACGTAAAAAATATTATATTAGATTTATAAATCTAAGGCCCTTATTCGTACGTGATTATTATTCTCACATCCCGAGTCGTTTCAGATTAAACAATTAGGCTACTTACATCATCATGAACCCGTCTTGGCGAGCAAATTTTAATCAATGGCGATGGGTAGGTGATTGGACTAATAATAGCCTAATCGCCTACTCTATTAAGTTAATTAAGTAACCAACCAATTGGCGACATGTAGCCCAATCTGACCACGATCTAGTCTGTTTAAAAATTATTTTCGTTATTCACGTTATCAGACCGACGTCGGCCCAACTTTGTGATCGGTCGCCCCAATATTTACGTTGGCATTGACCCTTAACCATAACTTTTGATATCTTGTCGATTCTGAACGTCATTATTTCTTTGGGGCGCTTGCCGCAGATACGTATAATCGCCAAGAGTCACGGACGCGATGTTATTCGATTCTCAAGAATAAAAAGTAATGACGTTGACATTGATGACGAAATTTCAGGCGTTAGTTTCTTGAAAAAATAAAGTACGTAATATATCGAATTATAGTAATGTCGTTTTGATTTCATAATACAAGCTATTTATAATTTGCTTGCAGCGCAGGAATAAATAGTAGGATAACATTAAGAATCCAGAAACTATTTAAATATTACTATTATTTACAATTAACAAGGAATTTCGAATTTAAAAATATAGTAAAATATAGCAAAGTTCTTAATTTAGCAGGTACGTTTCGAAAATCTTTAATGCTATTATGTATTTTCTACATTTTCTCCGATATAATGTCTAATATATTTATCTATGTAAAATCTAATATTATCTGCATTATCATTATCATATTAAATAGGTATAAAAGCATCGCTAATCTCGCGCCGGATCGTTAAACTAGTGCTTGATCTTCATTATTATCTCGATCAAAACGCGTTTAACGAGCCACTTGATCCCATCACGTTCGGACAACACCAGCTGCTCAGATCGCTTCAACTCAAGTCTTTTGACAGCTCTACGAGGATATATGCTCAAGCTGCACGGACTTTGTACTGTACTCTAAATCTGTTGTAATAAAAGCAATTCATAGAATCCGCTTATTTTTATTGGATGTTTGCTCGATTTACTTAAATAGCGTAACTTATCACTTATAATATTACAAGGCAAACATTGAACTGTGTCAACGAGAGTTTCTTTTACCGGAAAATAAATATTGCAATCTTCCTGCGTGTTAAAAGAGATATACCTGGTCGCTTCAGTTTTGTATAATTACAATTAGTTTACGTTATTTTTCTCTTTCTACATATCTTTTAAACTGAGCCTCTGTATAATTTAAAATTAAAATATTGCAAACAATTAAACAATTCTTTTTTTCTTTCAGTTTATTGAGTTCGTTTTTTTCTTACCTTTCTTCAACTTGGATCGTCAAGTGTAAACCTAGCGTATCAAATCTTGACATCTCACAGAACGATGAAGAACGGCGTGAAGAACCCCATAGACACCGCAGATCCGAATGAAAGCGTCACGTTAAGGCCAAAGTTGGAGACCTTTGACGACATCTTGCCATACGTTGGTGACTTTGGCAGATATCAATGGCTGCTTCTATTGGCCTTGCTTCCCTACAGCGTGGCATATGCCACCCTGTACTTCTCGCAGTTCTTCCTTACCCTGGTGCCGCAGGAACATTGGTGCAAGATAGAGGAACTAATGTCTTCAAATCTTACGCAGAATGAAAGGTAAAATTTAATTACGTAGCAATGGCATTCGTTGAGATTCCAAACTAAAATTATATATTTTATCTTACTTCTAACGTAATTATTATTCAAAGCAATAAATATATTAAATTAACTAACGGTCAGTAATCGAGCTACAATATTTCAGGTCTCACAATTAAAACATTTGTTATCAAGTTACATTAAATAAAATACGTTTCGGAACTCACAGGTCAATCTTCAGCTAAATTTAAATATATACTAACAATTAATTTCCAACACAATATAATTACATGTGGTAACGATTTTTGTGATTGAATTCTATAATAAAATCGTCACGAACGATGAAACGAAGTGATTCTTGTATAGTGATTCGGTCTCGCCGAGATTAGCTTAAATCTTGTCTCGATTTGATTTCGAAATTTTCAGTCTCGTCTCGGTATCAGCTTAGTCTCGACAATGACAATCTCGAGTCTCAATCTCGAGTCGAGACTCTCGGTCTCGATAATCATTGTAAGTGTTTTTTCAATTTCTTCTATGATTTATGCGATTAAACTTTTAAACTTAAACCATTTTATAAATTAATTAAATTTTTTAACTATTTTATTAATTTGTGTACTAGTAATTTAAATTTTTTGAAAAAGAAATGAATATATCTGCTTTAAAGAATATTTTTTTAATGATTTAATTATTTTCTAAAGCATCATTAATTATTAGAAAACATAGGAATAGGTTAAACGAAACATCGGCACATATAATTTTATGCATAAATTCTTGGTTGACTTGTAGTCTCAAAGATAAATTTCAGAACATTAATGTATTGTAATAAAAACTAATGATGCCTTATAAGTAATTTTTGTTAAAGATTTTAATTCTTAATTTTTTGTATCAAAAATGTCAGCACAGTTTAAGACTTATTAAATATATATACAACAATATCTATATAAAAAGTTTAAATATAATATAAATATCTATATAAAAAATTTAAGACTATATAAATATCTTACGCGTTGGAAAATGTATCTTACATATTACAAAATTTGAGAGTCTCGACGAGACTCTCAGTATCGTCGAGACTCTCGATATAAAAAGTCTCGTATCGGTCTCGAATTCGGATCTTAAGTCTCGTCTCGGTCTCGTCTCGGTCTCATCTCAGTCTCGATATCGTTCGAAACACTATTCTTGTATTTGAAATGTCTTTCTGTTGTTACAGAAGTGTAATGATTTTTATGTACAGACTTTTCCATTGACGAGTCCCTGTTCCCAACTTTATGATTTGTCCATTGATCAGTAACCAATGGTCAACAAAATCTTCGTTAACAAGCGAAAGTCTAGTAACCATTCATAGTCAAAATATAAATTATAATGTCGTGTTAGAACAAGGGATCTTAATACTGAGCGTCGTCAATGAGATTTCATTTGAATTGATGTGTTGACGACAATAAGACGCTCTCAATTTATATTTTAACTACGAATAGTCACTAGACTTTCGCTTATTAACGAAGATTTTGTTGATCACCAGTTCGTTTCATCGTTTGTGATAATGTTATTATAGATTTCAATCACAAAAATTGTTACCACACGTAATTATGTTGAGTTGGTAATTATTATTATAAATAATGTATAAATCTATAATTTATAAAAAAATTTCTGATTATGGAATAGTTGTTTTAAAAGTGGCCTGAAAGTCTTATTATCTTCAAAAATATATTTCGTACATTAGAAGTAAATATTTTCAGAATGGAGATTGGCGTACCAAAATCGCAGAATTATCCGTACTATGACCAATGCCATCGAAGGGATTTGGATTTCTTTGCTCTTCTAAATCATAGGAAAGACATTCGCTCGATCGAATGGAAGGCAAACAAAACCGTGGATTGCAGCCAATGGGAATACAATTTCACGCAGATCCCTTATGCTAGCATAGCGGCTGAGGTGAAGTATCTTTGAGTGCGTTACTGTGTGTATAAAATATGTGGAAGACACGAAGAGAGAATCAAAATTCGCGAGTACTCTTATGAAACAGTTGTGCGATTAACTGAGATTACGAGCGTTTCCCGTAATTCCAATTGTAATCCATTGCAGAACGATAATACGCGAATAATCTACGAGAGACAAAGAAATAAGATAAAAATAAATTTTGCATATCAAGTAACTCTCGTAAACGTAGAAATGTGGCAAATGTTGCGTTTCTTGCGTAATTTCAATCGTTATCTACTGCAGAATAATAAAACCCGACAAGAGATGAAAAACTAAGTAAACACTAATCAAAAGTAATATAGCATTAATATTATAATTGCACGCTCAACAATATAAATGCAATATAATATATATTGTAACATATATATTGTTGAGTGTAAAATTATATTGAATACGTTCAGCAGATAAAGCAGCTTTACAACTGTTATAAAATTTTTTAATATTAGTCTTACCCAGTTCCTCATATTGAATCTAAATGCATAAACTAATTATATATAATTAAAGAATTTTACAACAGTTGCAAAACTACTTACTCTGCTGAACGCCATTAATGTTATGTTATTTTTAGTTAGGTATTTACTAAGTAAGATAAAAATAAACGTTTTACATAACTCCTGTAAATGGTACACGTTGCGTTTAGAAACATGGTACACGTTGCGTTTCTCACGCACTGATTCTGGACCCTTTGTGATTAGCTAGATTGGGTATGTGACCAGGAGTACCTCATATCGACGGCACAGTCGATCTTCTTCTGTGGTTCCATCGTCGGTGGCTTGCTCTTCGGATGGGTCGCCGATCACAGAGGCCGGATCCCTGCCTTAATGCTCTGCAATGGCATCGGACTTCTGGCTTCGATCGCAACTGCGAGCGCGAATACTTTCTGGTCCTTCGCTGTCTGTAGATTTCTCACTGGTCTGGCTTTCGACAATTGCATCAACATCCCACTGATTATCGGTGAGCGATTAACAAGAAATAATTAGTTGCGCGACGATAATCGTCTGTATTGCTTACACTAAAGGTGGATTCAGACCTTGATAGAAAAGCAGAAAACAGAAAAGCAGCAGCCAATCAAACTTGCACTGACAGTAAACAGCACAGAAAGCCGAAATCAACGACTATCAGCGCAAAGTCTGCAATTGACTGCCGCTTTTCTGCTTTCTGCTTTTCTGTCTAAGTCTGACCCCCTCTCCCTTAAAATCCCCCCTTTTTATTCTTAAATTTAATTAACTTGTATTTAGACTTGCTCTGATAATAATGTAAAAATTGTATTTTTCTAGCTATAGTTTAATCGCTAAACTGATAATTTTACAGTGAGTACAAAACGTCGGGCATTTTTTATTTTTCTGTAATGGTAACTGTTGTATAATAGTTTTAAAGTAACCATTACAATACTATTAGTTTAATGGTTAATCATAGCTAGTAGAAAAACACAATTTTTTTTTACATTATCCTCAGATTAAGTGAGATTAAATCTAAACTATAAGTTAATGTCAGAAATCAGAAAAATTCAGAAGTCAGCAAATAAGAAAAAATAGCCCGAATAAGAGAATTCTGTTTTAATATCTTCAGAATTACATGCGATATTTTTCACTTTTTAAAAACGTCTTACACAAATTTGGACGCGGATCTTTATAGCAATAATGTGCGCACGTGTCCGTACATAGTTTACATTGTAATGAGTGGTATTAAGTGTAGACTACCCCTAAAAAATTGCCTGAGATGAAAGATGTGATTATGTTAGATCTTCTTTATGAATATTTATGGGCATAAATATTACGGCGTGCAACTCATTTCATACGTAATTTCATCGTTAGCTATTTTGCGTAAGCTATTAATTGCACGTATTTTTCTTTTTTTTTTCTTATTTTTAGTCTCTTGGCAGAGACGTGGTGGCTTCTTCTCCAGATACATGGAACATACAGTTTTTTAAAACGCTGATTCCGAAAGACTATTAGAAGAGCATGCTATTGATTAATCTATTAAATTGAATATTCCGATACTTTTCTTATTTTGGTTAATGAATCAAATTCTGAATCTCGCCAGTGCTCGAGTACATGGCCGTGAAGAGGCGAACCCTTGTCGTTAATATTGCATTCGGCATATACTTCGCCGTTGGAAGCACAGTTCTACCGTGGATTGCGTACTATGTCGCAAACTGGAGATTCTTCGCTTATATTAGCGCAATCCCGATGATGAGCGTCTTTATCACGCCATGGATTCTTCCCGAAAGCGCTCGGTAAATAAATATGATACGAATATTATCAATTTTTATTCCATTCAACCTTTTAAATCTCACACAAATTCAACTTTCATTATAAATATGTATATAATAATTATTTACGTAATTTTGTAATCAAAGGATTAGAAAAGGATTTCATATTTCTCCGATTGGAATAAATGCAACGTTTAAATGAGAATAAAGGAGCAAGACTAACGCGAATGCGGCGCAGTAATCAAAGCGCAATTAATTTTGTAAATTAAATATATTTTAATATAAATCAAAATGAGATTTGCAATCCTTAAACGTAGCGCTGCAATTTCTAAAGATTCATATCGCTCTTAGAAATTCATGCAGTTGTAAGCTCGTCATTGTTAGCTTCACTATTATCCGCGTCCCGTCCTACGTTCTCCGAACTTTCCGCTGAAATATAGAACACTGTTTTGCTATTAAGATGGTTCGTCGCCAACGGCAGAATAGATAAAATGGTTCAGAAGCTGCGGCGGATAGCGAAGATCAACAAGAAGTGCCCTGACACGCGCATCTTTGAGGTCTTCGTCGTAAGTAAGATTGATAATGAAACGCAAAGCTGAAACGTGAGACTGTGACATAAATCGCGCATCATCCACCTTATCGTATTTACAGAGAAACTTGACCGCGACTGATACCCAGAGGGAAAGCGCGACCATCTTCGATATTCTGAAATCACCGCGTCTAGCAAAGAATACCATTCTGCTAATCTTCTTTTGGTAAGACGCAACTTTATTTCTCCTTTTCATTTAATTGTCTTCTTCTACATAAATTTTATTAAATAAAATATCTTTTTACCGCGTAATATATGAATACACAACAAATAAGAAATAAAAGCTTTAAACAATCATGCTGGATCTTTAGTGCTTAAACAATTCGGTGTGAATTTATATACTCATATCTAATTTTGCAGACTACACGCCGAATTTAATTTTCAGTCTTGAAACGCAATCCTAACAGAACTGAAGTACAGTAATATTACAAATTAAATTGACAAGCAATTTAATAATATTGGTGCTCGTAGACATCTTAGAAAGATCTTAATAATCTGATGCTGATAAATATCTTAAAATAGCTATAAATAATTTTATTGTAAAAAATGTTATCTCAGCTTTCTTCCTTATTCGATATATTTTTCTTGATTTCGTAGAATATTAATTTTTGAAGGTATCATATCTCTGTCCCTCGCGAGGAGATAGATTTTAACGCAGTCTCTTTTTTCGGAGATACATCGAAAAGTTTTACCGAAATCTATCTTATCTAAAAATTTAGATAGATATAGATTTAAAAATAATTTGTTTGATTATTAAAATAATCATGTAGAAAACTCAAGCATGATTAACAATGCTGTATGAAGTTTTGACATTTTAGCAACCAGCTTGAGTCCTATACGATTATTTTGATGGTTCAACAAAATTATTTTCGGATCTGCATCCACGTAAATTCTTAGATATTTCAGAAAAATCGTTCTTTCGTGTAGCTTTAAAGTTTGACGGGGAGTATCAGATCTCATCCTCTAAATTTATACTGCACTGCTACTTCGAGAGCGGACGCTATATTCCACTTTCCACTTTAATGCATTAGATACGTCGCATACGACGACGAAGTTACGGATGTACTTTCGGTACTTTCTAGGTCCTTGACGATGATAGCTTTCGACGGTCACGTATACTCTCTCAAGCTGATCCCGAGCTCGGTGTTTGTGTCCTTCTCCCTCACCTGCTCGACCGAACTGCCGGCCGGGCTGTTGCTGACGTTGCTATTGGACCGCTGGGGTCGCCGATTCTGCGGATTTATCACCCTGGCCATGACTTGCCTTTTCAGCTTCGCCGAACTGCTGTTACAGTCGAGTGAGCACATACACACGGGCTTTCAAATAAAATCAAGCGGTCCGCAATCGCGCCACAATCTCTCGTCTCATGCGTTTCATTGTTCAGTCGCAGCGAAGCTGACGATGTCGGTGCTCTCGCGATTTTGCCTGAATATGGCAGCCAACGTGGGCCTTCAATACGCCGCCGAGCTGCTGCCAACTCCCATTAGGACGCAAGGTGTTGCATTGATCCACATTTTTGGCATTATTGCCCATTCCATTGCGCCATATGTGGTGGATAGTGTAAGTCATCTTTCGTATTCAGTTATGAACAAAGTATATTATAGAATTCTGAGGCAACTGTTCCATATTATATGCACGTTCCTGTAATTAACAGTATTATTAGAAAACAATTATTATAGAAAACAATAATTATTTATATTAAAAATATACTCTATTACAAATTTTTATAGTCATTATTTGTAATAAAATGTAGTAGATATAATGATTTAACAAAGTTGATGAAATTTATATTTTGACGGGCAAATATTCTACCGCGTGTCACTTATTTAATTATTTTTTTGTGCTTAAATCGTGCACGTTTCGTTAATGTAAAATAAATATTGATAGAAATACTCTGACCTTCCATTGAAGACAAAAATACAAGCTCTATTCGCGTCGCTCGGTATTTAGTCAATCAATTGAAATTGTTTCAGGCCAAGATTTGGTACGGCCTGCCGATGATGATCATCAGCATCGTGTCATTTGCAGCCGCTGCCCTAATATTGTTCCTACCGGAGACACTCGGTCGCGATCTCCCGCAAACTCTACGTCAAGGAGAAGACTTCGGCAAGGAACAAAGCTTCTGGGCGCTACCCTGCTGCAAGCGACCACGTTCGAATCGACATCGATATTATCATTCAACCGAATTATAGTCTTTTTAATTTTTATTACATAAGATCTCGGCGCGTAATCGTCGAGAAAATATAGTTAAAAGAAAAAAAGAAAGAATCTTGCGCGTTGTGCGGTATGTGATAATTTAAGTAATTAAGGTTCGTATGATTAATAAAATTTATTAATATAAAATTAATAAAATTCAAAGATAAGATCGGAATGATCTTCTGATCGAGGAGCATTTTTGGGAGGATTTACTTTTGAAAATAAATGCATTATAACAAAGTTTTACAAGAGGTTAAAATAACTTGTCCTTTTATTTTACACTATTACTCGATCACCTTTAGATGGCAATGAGTGAAATGGTATTAACATCTTTCAATTTACAAAGAAATTTCCATATTTGGCAGTGAAAGATGAGAAATATGTATCTATGTGATGAATACGTCGTACCAGCCTATATACATTATAAATTATCTAAAATCTACTTACATACTTAATTAATTCGTTTACTATCGCCACAACTCTTGATGATACATCAAGAAAGCGACGGAAGTCCTTTTATTTATTCATATGGTTTATCTAGTCCATTGTATCCTTCCAAGAATATAACAAATCAACCCCCATATTTATATCTCAGTACGGAAAATGAGTTGTCTTGTGTATGTACCGTGGCTCAAAGACACGTCGAGGCGTCGTTTTTCAGAAAGGCAAGGAACAATGAGCAAAGGGATGAACCCTTTGTAATTTTTAATTCCGCTGAGTTTGTAACAAATGAGTATATGAATATCTACATATACGCGATATTCACGTTTACTCACGAGTAAACGAAACACAGCATTTGGCACATCAGGCTTTACTCTGTATAACGTAAAAAATTGGATTCGTTAATATTACACCAATCTCGAGCCTCGTAATATGGAGAAATCAGCTCGCTCGTCACTTCAGTCTCACTAAAATTACACTTAATGAAATAGCTTTGTACACACTGATGCATCCCGAAAAAGAGCGACGAGTCGAAAGTCGAAGTCGCGTCGCGAGGAAACAATTCAGAAAAGCAATCTGGCACTCTCGAAATAGTCACATCGACTTCGAAGTTTCCGCATTCACGTTCGTGTTCGTGTCCATTCAAGCATGCACCTCATTGGATGCATGAATGCAATTGTATTTCGCATTCTTACTTTTTGTGTTCCACTCTATCATTGAGCGTTACCGCACTTGATGTGTCCATCACGTCACATGTTTAATACATAAAATCACACACGCAAGCGACTTTTCGCGATATTTACAACAAAAAGGTTTGTTAAATTATTACGCGGACGATCGTTATAATCTTGTACAGTCGATAGTTTGAATACTGCCGTGATGGAAAGCCGCGTTCGTCATGCCTTCCTTCTTCTTCTTCTTCTTCAAGGATTTCTTCAATTTCGGGGTTCTGCAAAAATATCGAAGGTAAAGAAATGAAATAAAATTATTACGAGATAAAAATAGAACCTCGATATTTCTTTTTATCTGAATCCAGCGCGAAAGAGATAAAAATTAAGAAGGAAGGGAGGAAAAGGAAAAAGAGAGAGAGAGATAACTTACGAGGATATGCAGGGAATCCACCAAAAGCTTTGATCCATGCCAAAGTCGTTACCCTCCTGCAGAGTTTCGGGCAAATCCTGGTCCAAAGTTTCAGGTAGCCCTAGCGTTAAGAACGCATCGATAAACGATAAGAGACCAAGAACTATCAATGGCAAATATTGGTGAACATCAGCCTAAAAAAAATAATGACTATTAACTTAATTAATCAACTTGACCACTGGATTTCATTAATTACGGTATCGTGTACAGATAAGATCTCGCGGATTCTCATGATACTTTACCAGATAAATCACATAAGGTCCGACGATGTGAGCGATGTAGCCAATAATGTGAATTAGAGACACACCTTGCGCCCGCACTACGGTCGGCAACATCTCGGCCGCGTATTGGAAACCGATATTCGCGGCGATATTGACACCGAGGCGCGCCAAAATCGCCATGGTGACGGTTAGTGTACCTGAAACACCGCGGATTATGTAAATGTAACATGTTACAAGCTCTATTTGCTAGTCGCATTCACCAGTCATTCCGTCTCAATCCTGCTCCATTTTATAAATTTGTACAATTTTATTCCCTTTATCAAAATATTTTATTTATTATATGTCTTTTATTTGTGATTTAAAATCGCTTTTACTTAATATTGGCCGTAAAGGCTTCTGCTACATGAGCCTGATGTCAGCCTTAACTTCCAAAGAAAATCAAGAAGCTATTGATCCACGATAGCTTGCGATGTAAAGAAATTTAGATCGCAGATCACAGACCGACAAAATCGAAGATCTTATATTTTCACGTGTTCTCATTTTATTTTCTATTTCTGTTTGCAATCTAAAACGATTTTCGCTTCTCGTAACGTTCTACTGACAATGAAGATGAATAAACCTGATGATGACAAGACTATAACTAAATTGATCTAACATCGTGAGATTCGTGAGTGATAATGTAACTTACCTTCGGGAGTGCCAATGGCGATCAAAGAGAATATACCACATATGAACATAGAAGCGAAGCCCATCCATCGTCTGCCCCATCTATCAAGGAAAAGTGCCAGCAGAATCGCCGCCGGAAGCTCGGTCATCGCGGCTATAGAAAACGACGTGAACACATCGGGGTGCAACAGCTTCATGTTCCAAACGTGTCCGTCGAACACCAGGATGATCAACAACCTGAAAACGATTGTTCGATCAATAGTCGTTTCAAACGAGGGTAAATAGATCGAATCTAATCTCTCCGACACTCACCAGTAAATAACAAGCATGACAGTGATGCGAGCCAATCGGGGCAACTTGAAGAGGTGCAAGACCGTGTACTGATTGTGCGACTGATCCTTCTCGATTATATTCTTGCAGCTTTTTTCGAATGCCTCGAATATCTCCTGTTTGACTTCCTTGCCGTTAACCTTCGCGAATTTCTTTAACATGCCGATCGCCTTGTCAATGCTACCGCTCATGATGTACCACCTAGAAATAGAATAAGCCGAAACTGTTATGTACCTATCAGCGTCTATATATACATATGTATACTTTGCAACATATAAATAATAAATAATAATTTTATTTTAAAAGATAATTCATATTACAAATTCAATATAAGATAATAAGAGTAGATAAGTACCGTGCACTTTCTGGGACAAGCCATGGGCCGAGGAAAGCGACGATCATCGGGAATGCGGTGACAACGCTTAAAATTCTCCAATCTGCGATCCAATATGCGATCCATGGCAAGAGACTAGCGGCGGCCGCAAAATAAATCCCAAAAGACATATTTGCCACCAGAGTTCGATACTTCGGACCGACGTACTCGATCACTGCGATCAAAGTTGTCGTCAATAACGATGATTGAAGTATCACAATAATAATTTTCATCACGTCACACGTAGAAAATTCTACTTTAGAATTCAAATCGGAAATTTTAAGTACTTTTAATCAAAGCTATTGATCAATAGTAATAAAAATACTTATTCGTATCTCCTTAATAAGCTGCTTGATTTGGACAGAAAATTCATTTAAGTTCTTCGTAATTTTTCATTCGATCGCAACGAAACGTACCGATAATGAAGAGTACGTTGAAGCAATTGTCGAACGATGAACCGACAATTAGTCTTGCGACACAGAAGGACCAAAAACTATTACAGAAGGCCGTCGCGATGGAAGCGAAGAAACCTACTGCGTTGCAAGACACTAACGCTGGGATTCTGCCGTAGTGATCAGCTATATAGCCGAATATCAGGCCACCGATAATGCTGCCAACGAAGAAGGCTGACTGAGCCGCGGAACCGAGGAAAGTCTTGTCGCAAACCCATTCGAGCTGGTGAAATGATACACATTGTTATAATCGCGAAGAGATTACTGTTATTAATAATACTGTCATTATGATTTATTGATTTATAAATCTATAGATGGGTTCCTTATAGAAATCCAATTTTTACTACTGGCCAATTACTACTGAAAATTACTTATTTTGAGTATTAACCCCATCCCCCTCTTCTTTCTGAAAGTTTTAGAGTAAATTTTACTTTGAAGAGTGAAATCTCAATCTTAAAGATTTTTTTTAACATTTTTAAATAGTATTTATAAGGTTGTATATTTTTAAAAATTATATATAACTAATTATTTAATGCTACTAGTATTTTGAAAAAAAGAAATGTGTAGAACACGAATGATCCAATCGTGTGTATTAAGAATTTAAAAAAGCATTCAACAACAATGTTTTTAATATTCAAAATAAGTAATCGTTACCTTCCAATATTAAATTTCTGTAAAGGATACATGCCGCGATTGAATACCGAGAAGGAATTTTTATAAATAATTTCTATCAAATGCATCTCTAGCCTTATAAAATTGTAATACTAAGAAGATTGAATTGCATTGGATAGCAAATAGCGTCAATTGACGTTGTACAAGCGAAGATACTTTATATCGATGCTTTATATTGGAAAGTACTAAGAAACTGTTCGCCAACGTCATCGGTATGATAATCGATTTTTATCTCGGATGTTACGTAACACCAAAAAATAGCAGCTTTATTGTAATCTTTTTATACGAAGCGAAAGAGAAACCGGCATCGAAAATACCGTTTACATACCGGTATTTTCGATGCCGGTTTCTCTTTCGCTTCGTATAAAAAGATTACAATAAAGCTGCGCGTTTGGCAAGAAAATATAAAGGATAAAAAATGCGGAGTGCTAAACCAGTTGACGTTTTGCTGAACGTGTCAGTCGATAAATTTATTAATCAATTAGCCACGACAGTGATTTATGGCGAGTGATAATGCCGTGTTTTAGATACCTCGGTGGCGATCGAAGCGTATGGTATCATCGTGTGGTTGAAGGTCCATCCTTGCTTGCATCGGACTATCGGCCACGACAAATTGGCTTGTCTGACACCTTGCTCGAGCAACTCGGTGTAATTTACGTCGTACATGTAGCATCTCGAGAATGACGTGATGCTCTCTAGCTTCAATTCCTCTTTGGTAGCTGGGGGTATCCCTATCGCGATCCTGTCGCAATCCAGACGTAAACAAAATCATTAAGAAAACAATAAATCTGTATACGATGCGT